ATATGCTTCTTTAACTCGGCTAATTCCGGTGGTGACATCCGATACGGAGCCAGAGAGATAGGCCTCACACCAGGCAATAGATCAATCGTGAACTCAATCTCTCTATGAGGCGGAAGTTGTGGAATTTCATCTGGAAACACATCCACAAACTCCTTCACCACGGAAATAGTGTCAATCTCCTCATGACTTCCGCCTACTAAACCCCCCACAAAGACATATCCAATGCCCCGGCCCTCAAAGCCTTTCTAACCTGCAACACAGATAGATATGGGGAAGAACTAGTAGCAGAATCATCAGCAGCAAGCACAATCCTTTTACCACAACAGTCTATCATAGCACAGTTCTTTGACAACCAGTCCATACCTAAGATAACTTGAAGGCTGATCATAGGCAAACAAATAAAATCCAGCACGTAATCTCGGCCTTCATACTTGAACTCAACATCTTTACACAATACAGATGTATAACACTCCTCTCTAGTAGCAGTAACCACTTTCATTGGAGGGCGAATGTCGTACATTTGCAGATTTAGCCCAACGGCCATGAAATCAGACATACAGGAGTGTGTAGCTCCTGAGTCAAACAACACTTCAACATCCATATTATCAATATAAATTGTACCTTTCACTAGATTCGGAGCTTTCTCCGATTGTTGACGGTCCATGGTATATACTCTACCAACCGTTTGAGACTCTAGCATAGGTGGAACAACAGAGACAGGAACAGCAGTAGCTTGAACTGCCATAGTCCTCGCTTCATTCTGAGGACACTACCTGGAATAGTGGCCGGACCTTCCACATTTATAGCAAATGACTTCACCTGTAGAACACAGACCTCTATGCTCCTTACCACAACCTTTACACTTGGGAGGAGGTCCCCTATCAACAAAAGTCTTTGGAGTTCCGGGCTTTTTAAACAAGTCTAATGGACTATTCACATTTAGCTTCTTGCCTTTAATCTTCTTGTTCTTCCAATAACTTGAGCCCGTTGCTCTATTGGAACTAGGTGTCTGGGCCTCAGAAGGCTTCTTGATCTGTGACCCCATGTATACCTCTTCCACCTTTCTGCACTGATTTACAAATCTACTAAATTCTCGAATGTCACAGTTTGACATCTTCCGAGACATCTTTTCGTTCAGACCCCATTGGAACTTGGAGGTTATTTCAGCTGGAGTGGGCAAGGCTCTCCCATAATTGGCGTATTTCACCAACTCATTGAATTTTGCAAAGTATTGGTCAATCGACATCGACCCTTGCTTTAGGTCATTGTACTCATTCTGCTTATGTTCCCTAGCTTCCCTAGGGAAATATTTATCCAAGAACAATGTCTCGAACAACCGCCAGGTGATTTCCCGGCCTTCAGCTTCTAGAGGCTGCACGGTATTAGTCCACCAATCCTCCGCTTCTTCTTCCAGCATGTACACGGAGTAGATTAATTTCATTGCATCAGGGCATCTCATCACCCTGAAGATTTTCTCCATCGCCTGGAGCCACTTTGCTGCAACCATTGGATCATAACCCCCCTTAAAAGTAGGAGGTTTATGTTTCCGAAAAGCCGTCAATCTCCTCTCTTCCGCTTCATGTTCATCAACATGCTCTACACGGGGTTGACGAACTTCTGTGTGATGACTGTGGCTTCCAGAAGGATGACTAGCCTCACCTTTATTGTTACCCGCTACACCCTCTTCTTGTGAAGGAGGTGGAGAAGGCGTAGCAGTGTGAGGAGGAGGAGTGGGTTGCCGGTTCACAGGCCTAGGACCCCTCAACGTCCTCAACTCGGTCATCATCGCGGCCATAGCATTCCGCGAGTCTGCATTTGTTTTCATTAGATTTCCATTGGCTTTCCTGCTAGCAGCCAACTCCCTCTGAACGGCTGCAAGAGCTTCAGCCACGGGATCAGGCCGCATGCCCGTTGCCCCACGGCCACTTCTGGGCCTCACAAGAGCAGCCAAAACAGGTTCTGGCTGGGCATTGGTGTTTGATGGTCCGGGGTTGTTTCGGTGCCTCGTCATGTCACTACACATGTTACACAAAGAAATGAGTTGATCAGGCCCACACTTAGTGATCACAAATGCAATAATCATAAAGAGTACTAAAACAACTATAAAGCATCAAACACTAAGCATACACAACAATAGCTAACAGTTATTCCCTACGAAACTGCTCTGATACCATAAAATGTAACACCCCGTTCTACAATCGGTTTGTTAACATCGCATTATGATATTAAACGCAATTACAATCACAAGGGTTCAATTAAAATACGGATAAATTTTTCATTTTAAAACATGCCGAATTTATAATGCCCAACTGCGTGATCATAACCATATTACATTGCGGAATAAAATGAATTAAGCTTAACATCATACTCTTACATCCTTAGACCAAAGGTTATTAATTGTCTTCTTCTAATCGTTAGCTACGCGTGGCTTCGAACCGCGTCACATTTGGAGCACTGTAGCTCGCGTTATGACAAATTAGAGCAACATCAGTGTATGTTGGGCACAGGCCCCGCGCGCTTCAGCGCGCTACGGGGCGCTCAAGCGCGCATCATCGGGCGCTAAAGCCTCCAACTGGGCGCTTAAGCGCAATGAGGCTGAGAACATCAGGTCTTTCAGTGTAAATGGGCGCTTAAGCGCGCACCAGGGCGCTCAAGCGCGATATCCTGGGCGCTTAAGCCCCCACTCTGGGCGCTTAAGCCCGTGGAGACAGTAAAAATTCCACCAATCCGTAGCGAAGAGCGCTTAAGCGCAAACCAGGGCGCTCAAGCGCGAGGAGGCAGTGAGAATTTAGCTCACACAGGGGCAGCAGGGCGCTCAAGCGCGCTCCAGGGCGCTTTAGCGCGCTTCCAGGAAATTTCACAATCTCTCCTTTTTCAAGTCCAAGTCTAGGGGAAGATACATCCCCATTCCAAACCCCAATTGTTCATGCCTCAAAACTTAATCCTAGCACTTATCCAACCTCTCCTCATGAGATTTAGCTAGAATTTGGGCAGTATAACCTTTGTTTTCTCAACGTTTCCCAATTTAAACAAAAGGTACCTAATTGATTCTCAGCCCAACCAATTCAATAACTCAATACATAAAAAAACATGCATATATTGAATTTCAAGTAGGCATCATTTACAATTCATATTCATTACAAATCATGGCACTTAGCTTACAAAACACTATGATCATTCCCTTGGCTCCCATCAACAAAAGAGATGACCAAAGGCATGAGCATAGGCTAAGTCCATTCCAATATACAAATCATAAATCTATCATTGCCTATTAATTACAATTCTATACATGTTAGCTACAAAACAACATGTATAATCTCAAAAAATGCAACACTTCATACATATGCTAATCCAGATATGGCCACTTGCCACTGGTGGCTCCTGCAGCATCCTTACCTGAAAAGGGGTCCCCACAACACGGGGTGAGATATACGAATATATCCAGTAAACCAGGGGTCCTTGGAGCATCTCTCCACCCCACAGTTCCATATCAGTGTAATAGCAATAACAATAATAATGCAGTAAATACATATCTATGCAAAGTGCAATAACATCTCCAGGAGAAATCCCTCGAGCTCTCAAGCTGTCCTAAGGAAACTCAGATGCAAATAGTCCTACTGGCCTGCTAACTACCAAGTATGATTTACGCATCGTCATGCAACATACCAACATGGGAAACACCATCCTATGCCACACCAAATGCATACATATACGTATAACAAAGCATTACACTATTTCATTGCATTTATATACATTATCAACAACCACTGCCCTTTTAGGGCTTGGTGGAACAATCAAGGGAATTACACCCAAGGTCCGAAGGCTTACCTCAAGCTTTAGTCAACCTTTGTTCCCACCAACCGGTTCCACAATCAATCAACTTTGGTTTCAAGCTATGGTTTACATAGCACACACCTACATCCAGGTGTCATAGCATCAATCATGCAATTCAATGAATATCTACATATATTCATCATCAATACAACAATACCACACCACAATTGGCGTGGACTTACCTATCCCAAAGAGCTAATCAAGCTCCATTGCTTGCTCCAACGGTTGGTCACTCAATGTTGGTCCAATTGCCTCAATCCTAGACAACACCAAGGCATAATCAACAACCAACCATCTATCACCAATGCAAGAAAACTCATAACCAAGTGCCATATTCTTGCAATTTTTCAAATATACTCATTTAACTATCTAAGCTCATTTTCACCGATTAAATGTCATTCATAGCATTTTTCATAACATGTACTAAGTCTCATTCTTCCTAGAACATAGCTAATTCAACTACATTTCATCAAAATCCCAATTTACTATTCATAAACCCTAACTTACGCAATTTCAAGGAATTATGAGGTTCAAGGGGTAGAATCTTACCACCAATGGTTGCCCAACCAAGCAAGGAGCGTTCCTCAAGCTCCCAAGGAGGTAGAAATTCCCAAAACCCCAAAATCTCACAAAGGGCCGAATTTTTGAGAGGCAATATCTCTCTCCACAATGCTCCCTACTAAGAACCAAGCTTAGATTGATGATGAGGGCGAGATTCTAAGCGATTTAGGCTTTTGAATCACTCCAATCGGTTAAGATTTGTTCTCTCTCTCTCTCTCTCTTCCTCCCTCCTTTCTCCTTCTTCTTCTTTCTCCTTCTTTTGCTTCTGTTTCTCGACGGGGGATTGGGGGGAAATGAGTCTTCTATTTGCTTTCTAAGTCACTTACTTAGTTAAGTGGCTTATGTGGGTATTGGTTCATCTATCTATTCAACTCCATTAATTACCAAACTTTACCCAAAAGTCTTGAATATCATTCTAGGAATATTTATATCTTTATTTTTATATTTTGGGCACTTTCGCCAGTATCCATTTATACTCCTTAATTTTCACTGAGTACACTTTTTAACTCCAAAGTGACTCAGATTCATTTAATTAAGCCTTATACTTAATTTTACTCACTAAAACATGCTTAATTATTTAATTACATGTAATTTGCTAATTAATTAGGTTAGGGCTATTATAACGCGTTATAGAAATTCAAAAAAATGTTCAAATGTTGCGTTGCGTTGAGTTTTTAGTTCCAACTATTAGATTCGTTAGATTACAATTACCATTTTATTGAGTTTAATATAAATATTTGGAATATCTTATGTTTCTTTGCAAAATTTATGAATATTATAAGTTTAGATTATTTTTTTTGTTAAATTATTGAATATTAAATATAATACACACTACATAAATTAAAAATATTATTTAATATCAAAACGTGTCGAAATCTAACATTTTCACCCCGTTCTAGAACCGGATTGTTATCATTGCGTACGACATTAAGCGCAGCTACAATCACATGGTTCAATTAAATTCCGGATAAATTTTTCTTTTTAAAATGTGCCGAATTTAAAATAACCAAGGGTGTGATCATAACCATATTTTCTTTGCGGAATAACGGGACTAAACTTAATATTATATTCCCTGTATATTAGAAAATACGTCGTTGAAGGTCTTCATCTCTTTAATTATCCATTTAATTCTACACTGCTTTTATGCTTCCCATATTATTGGATTTTTCATTAGCTACGCGTGGGTTCAAACCGCGCTCAAATCGGAGCACCGTAGCCAAAGTTAGGCATTTTCTAAGAAAATGAGTGCAAAATCTTCAGGACCCCGCGCCCGTAGCGTGGGATCCACGCCCAGAGCGTGGGCAACCAGAAAGTTGGCCCCCCCAGCGTGGGAGTGGCGCCCTCAGCGTGGATGCTACTGTCTGGTTCTGTAATTTGGCGCCCCAAGCGTGAATCTGGCGCCCCAGGCGCCATCCACAGGGCTGGGTGACCCAAAACATGGTCATTTAACCTACCTATGGTTTTCCACTCATAACTTGAGCTATACTCACTCAAATTACACCATTTTGGTCTCTATGGAAAGCTAAGAGAAATGTCTACAACTTCTATAGAGACATCAAAGTCCAATTCCATCACATTGGGTATGAAAATTGGTCAACCGGACATGATGTCTTTGTTTTCTCAATATTTCCCAATTCAGCACTAGGTACCTAATTTAGTTTCCAGTTCAATAATCCAATACTTAATGAGCATACATATATTGAACTTAAAGTAATCATTAATTACAAATCATGTTCATTACCATTCATGGAACTTAGCTTACAAAACACTATGATCACTCCCTTGGCTCCCATCAACAAAGGGATAACTAAAGGCATGAGCATAGGCTAAGTCCATTCCAAATAAACAGAACATACATCTATTAATTGTCTATTAATTACAAACCTATACATGTGAACTACAAAATGACATATATAATATCAAAAGACAGGATCCTCATGCATCACTACTAGTCCAAGTATGGCCACTTGCCACTGGTAGCTCCTGCAACATCCTTACCTGAAAGGGGGTCTCCATAACACGGGGTGAGATATACGAATATATCCAGTAAACCAGGGGTCCTTGGAGCATCTCTCCACCCCACAGTTCCATATCAGTGTAATAGCAATAACAATAATAATGCAGTAAATACATATCTATACAAAGTGCAATAACATCTCCAGGAGAAATTCCTCGAGCTCTCAAGCTGTCCTAAGGAAACTCAGATGCAAATAATCCTACTGGCTAGCTAAACTACCAAGTATGATTTACGCATCGTCATGCAACATACCAACATAAGGAAACACTATCCTATGCCACACCAAATGCATACACATACGTATAACAAAGCATTACACTATTTCATTGCATTTATATACACTATAATTACCACTACCCTTTTAGGGCTTGGTGGAACAATCAAGAGAATTACACCCAAGGTCCGAAGGCTTACCTCAAGCTTCTGTCAACCTATGTTCACCACCAACAGGTTCCACAACTAGTCAACTTTAATTCCAACTATTATTAGCAATTTCACCTACATTAAGGTGCCACAGTATCAATCATGCCATCCAATGAATATTCATATATACTCATTAATACCACAACAACTCTACATCACAACTTAGCATGAGCTTACCTATTCCAAGGAGCTAATCAAGCTCCATAGCTTGCTCCAATGGTTGATCACTCACGGTTGGTCCAAATGTCTCAATCCTAGACATCACAAGGACACAATCATCAATCAACCAAGCCAAACCATGGAGCATAATTGCAAGAAAACTAACAACCAAGTATCATATTCTTGCAATATTCAAAGTATAGTCACATAACTATCTAAGCTCATTTTCACCGATTAATCATCATTCTTAGCATTTCTCATAACATACGATAAGCTCCAATACGCCTAGAACATAGCCAATCTATTAACATTTCATAAAAACCCTAAAACACTATTCATTAAACCCTAGATCATGCAATTTCAATGGATTATGGGGTTCAAGGGGTAGAATCTTACCACCAATGGTCACACAACCAAGGATTGATGGCTCCTCAAGCTCCAATGGAGGTTGAAGCTCCCAAAACCCCAAACTCTCACAAAGGGGCGAACTTTGAGAGGAAAAATCTCACAACACAACACTCCCCACTAAGAACCAAGCTTGGATTAATGATGAAGGCGAGATTCTAAGTGATTTAGGCTTTTGAATCTTCAAATTTGGTTGAGAATAGCTCCCTCCTCTCTTTCTTCTTCTCTCTCCCTTTCTCCTTCTCCTTCTTCTTCTTTCTTCTCCTTTCTGTCGACGGTTTTCTTGGGGGTTTTGGGTTTCTTTTGTGTTGTTTTATCACTTAACACATGTTAAGTGGTAACATGTGGGTATTAGTTCGTCTATCTATTCGACTCCATTAATTACCAAACTTTACCCAAAAGTCTGGAATATTATTCTAGAAATATTTACAATTTTATTTTTATATTTTGGGTACTTTTGCCTACACCCATTTATACCCCTTAATTTTCACTGAGCACACTTTTTAACTCCAAAGGACTCAAATTCATTTAATTAAGCCTTATACTTAATTTTACTCACTAAAACATGCTTAATTATTTAATTACATGTAATTTGCTAATTAATTGGGTTAGGGCTATTATAGTCACCCCACCTTTTAGCGATTTTGTCCGCAAAATCAAGAACATACCTGTCCTTAAACTCAGGATACTGCCGGAGAAGCTCATCTTCCCGCTCCTAAGTGGACTCTTCAGGCGTCCTTCCTTCCCACTGGACCTTCACCATAAGAATGAATTTATTTCTCAGCCTCTTCTAATCTCTTTCGAGTATCTTCAGTGGCCCAACAGGAGTCTTCAAATTCTCCCGGATCTCAACATTATCAGGTTGAACCACATGAGAAGGATCAGCTACATATTTCCTCAGCTGAGAAACATGGAATACATCGTGCAAATTTGCTAATTGCGGAGGTAAGGCAAGCTGGTAGGCAACCGGTCCTACCCTACGAAGAATATGGTAGGGTCCAATAAATCTCGGACTAAGCTTCCTCACTCCCAGGGCTCGTCCAACACCCGTAACCGGTGACAGCTTTAGGAATACATGATCTCCCTCCTCAAACTCTAGAGGCCGGTGCTTGAGATCACAATAACTTTTCTGACGGTCCTGAGCCTTTTTCAGACGATCCCTAATCATTTTGATCTGCTCAGTAGTCTCCTGAACAAAATCCAATCCAAACCGCTATGTGTCTCCAACCTCTGACCAACAAGTAGGTGTCCTACACCTGCGACCATACAAGGCCTCGTAGGGAGCCATACCCAGACTAGCATGAAAACTATTATTATATGAAAACTCAACCAGCGGTAGATATCGATCCCATGCAGTACCCTGCTCCAGGGTGCAAGCCCTCAGCATATCCTCCACCGTCTGAATGGTCCTCTCAATCTGACCATCCGTCTGTGGGTGATAAGCAGTGCTCAGTCTCAACTGAGTGCCAAGAGCCTCCTGCAATGCTCCCCAGAAGCGAGAAGTGAACTTCGGGTCCCGATCACTAACAATGCTCTCAGGCACCCCATGAAGCCTCACAATCTCCTTCACATAGAGCCTAGCCAATCTCTCAGCAGAGAAATCTACCCGAACTGGAAAAAAGTGTGCGAATTTTGTCAACTTATCCACAATCACCCATATAGAATCATAACTAGCCTGTGTTCGCGGCAATCCCACTACGAAATCCATGGAGATACTCTCCCATTTCCATTCAAGAACATCTAGAGGTTGCAACATACCAGAAGGCTTTTGATGCTCAATCTTGACTTTCTGACAAATGAGACACTTAGAGACAAATTCGGCAATGTCTTTCTTCATACCAGGCCACCAGAAATTAATCTTTAGGTCCTGATACATCTTTGTAGCTCCCGGATGAACTGTGAAATGACCCTTATGGGCCTCTGTCATTACTTCCTCCACCAACTGCCTAGGTACAACAACACGACCCTGATATAATAATATATCCTCATCATTGCAGGATACACCACTTTGACCTTTCAGTCGTTTAGCACTTTCATTCTGCAGTCGAGCTTCTTTAATTCTGGTCATCAGTTCATTTTCAATGCTTGTAATTTCGATGCCACAAATTCTACATGGAAAGATTTTAGATAATTGCATATCTCTGAACTTCTCGATCACATCATAATCTCTAATTATCATGCTTGCTAAGCTCACAGATTTCCGGCTCAGTGCATCAGCTACAACATTAGCCTTGCCAGGATGATATTTCAATTCAAAATCATAGTCTTTTAGGAAATCGGTCCACCGTCGTTGTCTCATATTCAATTCCTTTTGATCAAACAAGTACTTCAAGCTCTTGTGATCACTGAATATGGCAAACTTCATTCCATACAAGAAAGGCCTCCACTGTTTCAATCCAAAAACAATTGCAGCAAGCTCAAGGTCATGGGTCGGATAATTTTCTTCATGCGGTTTCAATTGCCTTGATGCATACGCTACCACTCGCCTATCCTGCATCAGCACACAACCCAATCCCTTTTTAAAAGCATCGCTGTATAACTCAAATTCACCTTCCGGATCGGGAAGTACTAACACCGGAGCAGTCGTCAATTTCTCCTCAAGGCTCTGGAAACATTCTTCGCATTCCTACGTCCAAACAAATGGAGTATCCTTCCGGGTCAAACGGGTCAATGGAAAAACCATGGCCGAATATTCTTTAATAAATCTCCGGTAATAGCCAGCCAAACCTAGAAAACTTCTTATTTCCGTTACCGTCTTGGGTCTCTCCCAATCAACAACTGCCTCTATCTTGCTAGGATCAACCGCCACTCCATCAGCAGAAATAACATGACCCAGAAATTGCACTTGAGAAAGCCAAAATTCACATTTAGAAGGCTTTGCATACAACTGTTTCTCTCTGAGAATTTCCAACACAGTTCTCAAGTGACCCTCATGCTCTTCCTTACTCTTGGAATATATCAGGATATCATCAATAAACACAATCACGAATTGATCCAGAAACGACTTAAATATGCAATGCATATAATCCATAAACACCGCCGGAGCATTAGTGAGTCCAAATGGAATTACTTGATACTCATAATGTCCATATCTAGATCGAAAGGCAGTCTTCGGAATATCTTCCTGCCTAATTCGGATTTGATGATAACCCGACCTCAAATCAATCTTTGAGAAAGCACAAGCACCCCTCAACTGATCAAGCAAATCATCTATGCGAGGGAGAGGATAATTGTTCTTAATGGTAACCTTATTCAACTGACGGTAATCAGTGCACAATCTCATGCTACCGTTCTTCTTCTTAACAAATATAACTGGTGCTCCCCACAGGGACACACTTGGCCTGATAAACTGCTTAGCCGAAAGCTCCTCAATATGCTTCTTTAACTCGGCTAATTCCGGTGGTGACATCCGATACGGAGCCAGAGAGATAGGCCTCACACCAGGCAATAGATGAATTGTGAAGTCAATCTCTCTATGAGGTGGAAGTTGCAGAATTTCATCTGGAAACACATCCACAAACTCCTTCACCACGGAAATAGTGCCAATCTCCTCATGACTTCCGCCTACTAAACCCCCACAAAGACATATCCCAATGCCCCGGCCCTCAAAGCCTTTCTAACCTGCAACACAGATAGATATGGGGAAGAACTAGTAGCAGAATCATCAGCAGCAAGCACAATCCTTTTACCACAGCAGTCTATCATAGAACAGTTCTTTGACAACCAGTCCATTCCCAAGATAACTTGAAGGCTGATCATAGGTAAACAAATAAAATCCAGCACATAATCTCGGCCTTCATACTTGAACTCAACATCTTTACATAACACGGATGTATAACACTCCTCTCCAGTAGCAGTAACCACTTTCATTGGAGGACGAATGTCGTACATTTGCAAATTTAGCCCAACGACCATAAAATCGGACATATAGGAGTGTGTAGCTCCTGAGTCAAACAACACTTCAACATCCATATTATCAATATAAATTGTACCTTTCACTAGATTCAGATCCTTCTCCGATTGTTGACGGTCCATGGTATATACTCTACCAACCGTCTGAGACTCTAGCATAGGTGGAACAACAGAGACAGGAACAACAGTAGCTTGAACTGCCATAGTCCTCGCTTCATTCTGAGGACACTGCCTGGAATAGTGGCCGGACCTTCCACATTTATAGCAAATGACTTCACCTGTAGAACACGGACCTCTATGCTCCTTACCACAACCTTTACACTTGGGAGGAGGTCCCCTATCAACAAAAGTCTTTGGAGTTCCGGGCTTTTTAAACAAGTCTAATGGACTATTCACATTTAGCTTCTTGCCTTTAATCTTCTTGTTCTTCCAATAACTTGAGCCCGTTGCTCTATTGGAACTAGGTGTCTGGGCCTCAGAAGGCTTCTTGATCTGTGACCCCATGTATACCTCTTCCACCTTTCTGCACTGATTTACAAATCTACTAAATTCTCGAATGTCACAGTTTGACATCTTCCGAGACATCTTTTCGTTCAGACCCCATTGGAACTTGGAGGTCATTTCAGCCGGAGTGGGTAAAGCTCTCCCATAATTGGCGTATTTCACCAACTCATTGAATTTAACAAAGTATTGGTCAATTGACATCAACCCTTGTTTCAAATCATTAAATTCATTCTGCTTCTGCTCCCTAGCCTCCCTAGGGAAATAGTTATCCAAGAACAATGTCTCGAACAACCGCCAGGTGATTTCCCGGCCTTTAGCTTCTAGGGGCTGTACGGTATTAGTCCACCAATTCTCTGCTTCTTCTTCCACGGAATAGATTAACTTCATTGCGTCAGGGCATCTCATCACCCTGAAGATTTTCTCCATCACCTGGAGCCATTTTGCTGCAGCCATTGGATCATAACCCCCCTTAAAAGAAGGAGGTTTATGTTTCCGAAAAGCCGTCAATCTCCTCTCTTCCGCTTCATGTTCATCAACATGAGCGCACGGGGCCTGTGTTCAACACCCTCTTGTGTTGCTTCAAATTGTCATAACTTGGGCTACAGCGCTCGAAACGAGGCGCGGTTCGAAGCCACGCGTAGCTAATGATTAAAAGAAGACATTTAATAACATTTGGTCTAAGGATATAAGAGTATGATGTTAAGCTTAATTCATTTTATTCCGCAATGTAATATGGTTACGATCACGCAATTGGGCATTATAAATTCGGCATGTTTTAAAATGAAAAATTTAACCGGATTTTAATTGAACCCATGTGATTGTAACTGCGCTTAATATCATAATACGATGTTAACAAACCGGTTCTAGAACGGGGTGTTACAGTTAAGTGATAAAACAACACAAAAGAAACCCAAACCCCCCAAGAAAACCGTCGACAGAAAGGAGAAGAAAGAAGAAGAAGGAGAAGGAGAAAGGGAGAGAGAAGAAGAGAGAGAGGAGGGAGCTATTCTCAACCAAATTTGAAGATTCAAAAGCCTAAATCACTTAGAATCTCGCCCTCATCATTAATCCAAGCTTGGTTCTTAGTGGGGAGTGCTGTGTTGTGAGATTTTTCCTCTCAAAGTTCGCCCCTTTGTGAGAGTTTGGGGTTTTGGGAGCTTCAACCTCCATTGGAGCTTGAGGAGCCATCAATCCTTGGTTGTGTGACCATTGGTGGTAATATTCTACCCATTGAACCCCATAATCCATTGAAATTGCATGATCTAGGGTTTAATGAATAGTGTTTTAGGGTTTTTATGAAATGTTAATAGATTGGCTATGTTCTAGGCGTATTGGAGCTTAGCGTATGTTATGAGAAATGCTAAGAATGATGATTAATCGGTGAAAATGAGCTTAGATAGTTATGTGACTATACTTTGAATATTGCAAGAATATGATACTTGGTTGTGAGTTTTCTTGCAATTATGCTCCATGGTTTGGCTTGGTTGATTAATGATTGTGTCCTTGTGATGTCTAGGATTGAGACATTTGGACCAACCGTGAGTGATCAACCATTGGAGCAAGCTATGGAGCTTGATTAGCTCCTTGGAATAGGTAAGCTCATGCTAAGTTGTGATGTAGAGTTGTTGTGGTATTAATGAGTATATATGAATATTCATTGGATGGCATGATTGATACTGTGGCACCTTAATGTAGGTGAAATTGCAAATAATAGTTGGAATTAAAGTTGACTAGTTGTGGAACCTGTTGGTGGTGAACATAGGTTGACAGAAGCTTGAGGTAAGCCTTCGGACCTTCGGTGTAATTCCCTTGATTGTTCCACCAAGCCCTGAAAGGGTAGTGGTAATTATAGTGTATATAAATGCAATGAAATAGTGTAATGCTTTGTTATACGTATGTGTATGCATTTGGTGTGGCATAGGATGGTGTTTCCCTATGTTGGTATGTTGCATGACGATGCGTAAATCATACTTGGTAGTTAGCTGGCCAGTAGGACTATTTGCATCTGAGTTTCCTTAGGACAGCTTGAGAGCTCGAGGAATTTCTCTTGGAGATGTTATTTCACTTTGCATAGATATGTATTTACTGCATTATTATTGTTATTGCTATTACACTGATATGGAACTGTGGGGTGGAGAGATGCTCCAAGGACCCCTAGTTTACTGGATATATTCGTATATCTCACCCCGTGTTGTGGGGACCCCCTTTCAGGTAAGGATGCTGCAGGAGCCACCAGTGGCAAGTGGCCATACTTGGACTAGTAGTGATGCATGAGGATCCTGTATTTTGATATTATACATGTTGTTTTGTAGCTCACATGTAAAGGATTGTAATTAATAGAAAATTGATTGATGTATGTTTTGTTTATTTGGAATGGACTTAGCCTATGCTCATGCCTTTGGTTATCTCTTTGTTGATGGGAGCCAAGGGAGTGATCATAGTGTTTTGTAATCTAAGTTCCATGAATGGTAATGAACATGATTTGTAATTGATGATTACTTTAAGTTCAATATATGTATGCTCCTTATGTATTGGATTGTTGAGCTGGAAAGCTTGATTATATACCTAGTGCTAAATTGGAAAATGTTGAGAAAGCAAAGGTTATGCTGCCCAAATTTTAGTATAATCCATGAGGAGAGGTTTAATCCATTGAGGCTTGTCATGGGGATGCCCTTTTCCCCTAGTTTTGGACTTGAGAAATGAGAGAGGGAGAATTCCCTGGCAGCGCGCTCAAGCGCCCAGGAGCGCGCTCGAGCGCCCTGCTGCCCCTGTGAGAGCCAATGCTCTCTGTCTCCTCGCGCTGGAGTGCCCAAAGTGGGGGCTTAAGCGCCCAGGATTGCACGCTTGAGCGCCCTGGTTTGCGCTTAAGCGCCCTTCGCTGCAGAAAGATGGGATGCTTACTGTCTCCGCGGGCTTTAGCGCCCAGAGTGGGGCTTAAGCACCCAGGGTTGTGCGCTTGAGCGCCCTTAGCCACTGAAGGAGGAGATGCTTCTGTCTCTGCGCGCTAAAATGTCCCAAATGGGGGCTTAAGCGCCCAGGATATCGCGCTTGAGCGCCCTGGTGCGCGCTTAAGCGCCCATTTACACTGAAAGTCCTGATGCTCTCTGCCTCCGTGCGCTTAAGCACCCAGATGGAGGCTTTAGCGCCCGATAACGCGCGCTTGAGCGCCGGGTAGCGCGCTGAAGCGCACGGGGCCTGTGTTCAACACCCTCTTGTGTTGCTTCAAATTGTCATAACTTGGGCTACAGCGCTCCAAACGAGGCGCGGTTCGAAGCCACGCGTAGCTAATGATTAGAAGAAGAAATTTAATAACATTTGGTCTAAGGATATAAGAGTATGATGTTAAGCTTAATTCATTTTATTCCGCAATGTAATATGGTTACGATCCCGCAATTGGGCATTATAAATTCGGCATGTTTTAAAATGAAAAATTTAACCGGATTTTAATTGAACCCATGTGATTGTAACTGCGCTTAATATCATAATGCGATGTTAACAAACCGGTTCTAGAACGGGGTGTTACAGTAAACATGTGATACATTATGAGTTTTGATGTGAATATGAGCTATTTATGGACCAAATCCTTTGCAAAGAATATATCCACCAACGAGTCAAATGACAAACCACACTAACTGAACCGACATCCCATCTCAACCTAAACCCTTAAGACTCAAGTTGTACGAGTCTCTTTTGCACTTATATGATACTCACTTGGAAGATTTCTAATTGATGTGGAACTTCATCATTATTCACGGTTGACTATTTCTAACAAACATATCCTAGAGAAATTCTCGTATTTTTTTTCATAGTACTACGCTACGCATGGAATGCATAACTATAAAAGCCGATAGAATAAATATTGTATGGGAAAAATGTGTATCATTTTAAAAGATAAAGCTGTGTCATGTTAAGTAAGAGAAAGAGATAGATAAAGGAGGAGAGAGAGTGGACAAAAAAATATAAAGATGTGGATCCCACCTCTTTGTGAGAGTGAAATGACATCAGTTGTGTCATTTAAAAGGACAAACATTTTTCCCATATTGTATATCATTTAATAATTTTTTTTTAAAAAAAAATCAGTTCGAAGTAATTATGAGAATTTCTCCTTATTTATTTTGTCCTTTCTCCTCATCTTCTTCTCACTCTTTCTTATTGTTTTTCAATGTATCCATCACACGTGTAGCTAATTTCCCATGTGTTCATAACAAAAACATCATAATTTTCATCAAACTGTAGTATACTTCGTTCTTAGTTTAGGTTCATCAAAATCATCGTAATTAATTGAATCCCAAAAATTGGAAGATTGTACCTAGGAAAACATTACAACATAGGTTGGCTATGGCTTGTCCCCCAAAACACCCCACTTTTTGTTTAACAAGCAAAACTTGGAAGTTTTGGCAATTTGAACAAAACGTCAGGCGGATATAACATCTATTTCACCTACGTTTCAAACGAAAATGAAAAATGTTTCAGTTGTAATTCCACATCATACTCGGACGAGTTTGATTTCATTGGTTTGAATCCACACGGTCAACTATATTGCAAAGCCTCTGTATCTTGCAGCAGTGACAACCCTGCACAAGTTAGTGGATGCGTGTGCATGCATGGTGATCATTGGTCAGTGATCAGTGATCACTGTATCAAGGTGGAAAGGAAATTAGGAGTTGGTGAGAGAGCGTGGAAAAAGAGACGAAAGGAAGCAGAGACGTGAATGGATTTGCAACCACAAGGTTAAGGACAACAAAATGGGTAGCAGGTGATGTTGGGGTCATAACAGAAACTGAGCAAGATGCCCAGAATTCTCCTATTGCTATTCCTCATCCTCCTACTCCAACTTGAGCACTCTGAAGCGGACGATATTGCCATTTACTGGGGTCAAGACTACTTTGAGGGAAGCCTTACTGAAGCATGTGCAACAGGAAAATACAACTATGTCATTATAGCCTTCCTTTGCACCTTCGGGAATGGCCAAACCCCTCAAATCAACCTGTCAGGTCATTGTAACACCTCTACTAATGGGTGCACTGAAATTGGGACAGACATTAGGAATTGTCAAAAGCAACGGATCAAGGTCATGCTCTCCATTGGAGGAGAAATTGCGAACTATTCACTAACTTCCTCTGATGATGCTAAAAATGTCTCAGATTACTTGTGGGACAACTTCTTGGGTGGCAGCTCGTCTTCACGCCCACTTGGGGATGCTATATTAGACGGCATTGATTTTGACATAATGAAACATACACCATACGTGGATGACCTTGCACGTTACCTTAAGTCACACAATCAAACTGTGTACTTATCTGCAGCACCACAGTGCTTATTTCCTGATGCACAGTTGGGTACGGCCCTTACTACTGGCCTTTTTGACTATGTTTGGGTACAATTCTACAACAATCCTGCATGCGATTATACCCAAGGAAATTTCAATGACTTTGTGTATACTTGGAAACAATGGACAAAATCATTAAAGGGGGAAAAAATATTTCTGGGATTACCAGCAGATTCAGCATCAGCTACAAGTGGTTATGTTCCAGCAGATGCATTAATATCCACGATACTACCTGCAGTAAAGGCGTCACCAAATTATGGGGGTGTGATGTTGTGGTCAAGGTTCTCTGATAGAAACAGTGGCTACAGTACCTACATTCAAATAAGTTCTCTGTGCACAGAGCAAAGCCTTACCAGATGCAGGAGCCGTGACAATGGCTTCGAGGAACGTTTAGGTTACATGTCCACAGCTGGTATTGAAGTTTATGATGAGAGCATTGGTACACACTGCTGTCAGATCATATGTAGGAACAACTGTTCCTGTGTAGCGTATGCCCCAACAAATCACATTAACAATACTGGATGCCAGATATGGGGCGAAGGAATGAAATTCATTGGAGCTTCTGGGGAAAAATCACAGCCAATCTACCATATTAAACACAAAGGTGTATCCAGATTCCCAAAAGGTTGCTTTTCCTTCAACAGTTTCATTTCCCTACGCGAGTAAGAAAAATAAAAAGGGTTCAGACTGAATATACTTGAGCAACAATAAGAAGCAATCACAATTAATAACATATACAGGTTAATAATTGGCTCCAAATCTGTTGGTAATATCTCGTTTCTTTCGAAGTATTTTCAGGTACATGGCTAGGATATAAATTAACAATACATAAGTAATAAACCCTATAACTCTCCATCTAAAATTGTTTAAGCAATATTTTTCCAAGTTGAAATTATCTTCCTCTGAGTTGCAGAAAACAGGTGGTACTGGTGGAAATGGCTTATCATTGGGGTGGGAGCAGTGCTTGCATTAACTGTGATCTTCTATTTAGGCCGAGCCTTGTGGAGAAAATACAAAGAAAATGGTAACTACCGCATAGAAAATTTTAAATACGGTTTATCAGTTTAAGCCTTTAAGGCCTCTTTAAATCTTATATTTTCATGTCACACAACTAGCGGATAGAAAAGTGATGCAGAAGAAGCTATTACATGAGATTGGAGGTAATGCAATGCTTTCGATGGTGTACGGAAAAGTCCGAAAAAGTAAGAAAAAGGATAAGACAAGCAATGAGGTCGAAATATTCACTTTTGAAAGCATAACTGCTGCCGCAAACAATTTCTCAGCTGCTAATAAGCTAGGAGAGGGTGGTTTTGGTCCTGTTTATAAGGTAATATCTGCATACTTAAATTGAAAACCATCTCGATAGGAATTGATATAATGACATTTCAGGGAACATTACGTGATCGGCAAGAGGTCGCAATAAAGCGACTTTCTAAAAGTTCAGGACAAGGGCTGACAGAGTTTAAGAATGAAGCTAAACTCATGGCCAAACTCCAGCACAATAATCTCGTAAAGCTTTTAGGGTTCTGCATCCAGAGAGATGAAAGAATATTAGTATATGAGTACCTGTCTAACAAGAGCTTAGACTTCTACCTCTTTGGTAGGCTGTCTTTTATCTTAACAAAATTAAGAATCTGGAAATGTTAGCATATAGCATATTAATCAGCATCCTTACTTCAAAACAGATTCAACTAGAAAGAATTTGCTAGACTGGGAAAAACGCTTGAACATCATTGGAGGCATAGCTCAAGGACTTCTTTATCTTCACAAGTATTCAAGACTAAAGGTGATACATCGGGACCTGAAAGCAGGCAATATATTACTTGATGAAGAGATGAATCCTAAAATATCTGACTTTGGCTTGGCTCGAATATTTGGTCCAAGAGTATCAGAAGAAAAAACAAATAGAGTTATTGGTACATAGTAAGTTTATAAATGATCATGCATTTTCAAATTCTTGTCTTCTATACATCTTTATCAAACATCCTTTCATGTTGCTATATTTGCAGTGGTTACATGGCTCCAGAGTATGCAATATGTGGTGTTGTGTCTATCAAGACAGATGTATTTAGCTTTGGTGTGCTGCTTTTAGAGATTCTTAGTGGCAAGAAGAATCGTTGTCGTTATCATTTGGATCGCCAACTCAACCTCATAGGATATGTATGTTTCACAAATGACTAGTTCCTAAAATTTATACTTATCAGTGTCCATGATTAAGAATTTTATTTTATTTTTTTTGTGTGGATGGTGGGACTCTTGTAGGCATGGCAGCTCTGGAATGAAGGTAGAGCTCTCGAGCTAGTAGACCCAGCATTAAATGAATTAAGTACTCAGAATGAAGTTTTGAGATGTATTCATATCGGCCTATTGTGTGTACAATACCAAGCAACAGATAGACCTACCATGTTAGATATTGTCTCTTTTCTATCAAATGATACAATACAACTTCCCCAACCACAGCAGCCAGCATTCTTCAACAATGGGGTAGCGGATGAGTCAGTACTTCCGTACAGCAAGCAAGAACATTATTCCTTGAATGATGTAACAATTTCTAATATTTATGGAAGATAACTGTATATTTATGTAACAATTAGTGTTACATTATTCCTTGAATGATGTGAACCCAACTAGATATTTGCATTTACGAACACATACTTCCACTGTAAAATCTTAAGAGCAATAAATTCTCAATAAGTAGAAACAATTTCAGTTATAAAAGTGTTTTAGCGTGTATAAATGACAAGTATAATGCTTTCATGATTTGAGAAAAGGCTGAGCGTGATGCAGTAAAATATAAGGTAAATCAAAATACTCTGAAGCGGAAGACTAATCAGAAAGGAAAAGCAAAGTAGCTCCCTGAAATGGCTGCTTCTATCTAGGGGTTATAATATACAATAGCATTGACAGTCTGATCACAAACATATAACAGATAACAGATCGAGCATTAAAAGATCACAGGGCATGAATTGAAACAAAAAATAGAAAAAGGGGAAGAAAACAATCAACAGATCATTAATGGAGCAAAGCACGAATGAGAAGAAAATAAATTAACAAATACCAGATGAATGAGGAGAGCACCGAAGCATGAGGTGTGAGCAGAGTCAGAAGAGTTGGAGAGGAAATCCCTGAATGAATTGAAGTATTGAACAATGAATTCCCCAAAATCATGAGTTGCCATAAAGAAGGAAATAGCCGCTTAGAATCACTAGACAAATCTCTTAAGACAAAATAACCCATATTATATATACATATGCTTGATAACTCCAACTCTGTACCAAAAGAAATAAATAAATAAATTACTAATAAGTTGTAATTCCAAAAATAAAAGAATCACAGTGATGCTTTTCGCCGTTTCGCCGTCTTGGAGTATGTTGACCAAGTGTATGCCATCAAAATTATGACAGTATGTGCAACTTTAAGATAATTGGTTGCTGGTCTCTGACATTGGCTTTAAAAAGACCAACTTAACGACAGAAAAAGAAAAGTAAATTTTTTCAGATACTTACACCTACCATATCAGATGTTGTTTCTTTTCTCTCAAATGATACAATTGAACTTACTCATCCAAAACAGCCACCATTTTTTACCAATGTGGTTGGGGAAGACTAAGCTGCGTAAACTAAGAGACCTCATTTAATCTAGTCTTAACATATGACGAGGAATGCATAACTATAAAAGCCGTTAGAATAAATATAGAATATCATTGAATAAATTTTAAATCAAATATCAGTTCGAACTTCGAAGCATACTAAAATTTTACCTACATTACAATTTCCTACCCAATGTTTAGGTCTTGTTTCAAGAAAATGAAGGGCTGAGCTAGAGAGGATGTGGGGAGTTTTGGTGACCGTGGTTTGCGCCGGAAGTGGTGGTTGTTGGCGGAGGACACGGTGTGAAGGAGTTTGGACTACGATGACAACAAAAAAATGAAGGGTTGGATGAGGGTTATGGTGGAGGTAGGAAAGAGGCTTTTTGACAGTTGTACAGAAGAAAGAAAAAAAAAAAAAAAAAGGGACCCAACGGGAGCAGAGTAGTGCTGCGGCATGGTACTTTGGGAGAACATCTTCCATACAAGTGTACTAGGTAACTTTTTCGTTGAACACTTTATATTTGAATAAAAAAATATTTCTCTTTTTTATGTGTACAAATATCATAGTCATTCATAAATTTTTATTGGCCGATAACACCAAACAAATGGCACTACAGTAATATATTAGATATTTCCGTAAGTTGGGCTCTGTTTGATTTTTAAGGGCTGGCATGATAATCTTATTAGAATCATTTTTTTTTTAATTTGTGTTATTAGAAATACAAATAGATAGAAAAAATATTTGACAAATCGGTTTTTTTTTTTTTATTATCGAGAATGAACCGGTTCAATTTCTGTATTGGGACAGAAAAAGAATAAAAAAAAATTTACATTTTTTTTTGTTCCCAAGCACAAAATAAGAAATATTTGTCTTTCTCAATTACTCTCCACTACTACAATCACCATCACCACAATCATTCTGACACGACCACCGCCACCATCGTCGCCGCTGCCGTCGTACCGCCACCATCACAATGCCACCACTACCATCACCATACCACCAACATCACCGCAGCAACTGCCGTTACCACCACCACCATGCTGCCACAACCATGCCACCACCACCACCATCATGGCCACAGCTATCGCTGCAGCCATTGCCATCATCACCACCACCGCCATCGCCACCTCTATCACCACCATCGTCGCAACCACTGCCATGACCACCACCACTACAACCACTGCCGCCACCACCACCACTATCGTCACCATTGTCGCAGCCACTGCCGTCACCACCACTAGCACCGCCGCCACTACCATCGCCACAGTCACTGCCGTCACCACCACCACCACCACAACATTTGAAAAGGAAAGTGAAGATCCAATTTTTTTTTTTAATTTTTAATATGAATGATTTTTTACTCTATTATTTGTTGTGTTATCAAATGCAATTTTTATTCTCGTAATAAAATTAAAATATGTTATGAAACACTTTTTTTTTTTTCCAGAAACCGTTTCAAGGCACAGAAATAGAAAATAATTGCTTCTTTTCAAAAACAGTGTCAAGAAATAGAATGATTGTCATGCACAACCCTATTATCAAAAAATAGTTTTTAAGTTTTTAAAACAAAAAGTAAAAAAATTTGTTTGGAAATGATTGTTTTGCAAAATGTTTTCCAAAGTCATGATTGTTTTTTAGTTTTCAAAACTTAAAAAAACCAAAACAACCTGCGGAGGTTCTCTAAAGCTGTTTTTTGATTTTTGTTTTTGTTTTGGTGGTGGCAATTTCATAAATATAAGGACTCAAAACAATTATTTTTACCGTGGCATTCTTATAAGGCTTTAATATTTCTAAAGTGAATGTAGGTAAGTTATCTATATTCGCTGCTAAATCGATGTCGTTTTAAGTTGAAAAATTTAAAAATTATAATGAAAAAGACTATTATAACCTGAAATAAATTATAATTACAAAAATACCTTGATGTCCGCCTCAAAACGACGTCGTTTTGAACTCAATGTAGATAAGTTATCTACATTGACTATTGACTATAGAAAAAGGGAACCCTTTTTATAATTCTAAAACTTTATTAATGGCATTTTTGTAAACAATTACAACTTCTTTATAACTTTAGTTTAACTATACTTAAACAAGTTTTTTTCTTCTGTTTTTTTACTCTCAAAATCAATTTTTAAAATTCATATTCAAAACAGTTTTTGAGGGAAAAAAAAACGAAAACACTTTCAAAACAGTCTCGTCGCCCTTTCTATGACTCTCAATTATCATATCTCCCTATCTTACCATCCCACTATATTTTAATAAATAATTTTTTTTATGCAACGTCAAAATTCAAAAAGCCCAAGACAAGGGGCGATGAAGATGAAGATGGTGGTGAGGCATTTGATTTCTGTCTAGTACTTGAGAAAATGGAATGTCCCTTTTGTCTTTTATTGTATATGTTTAATTATTGTAACATACAGTATTTATGATTGTTTCAATAACTTGTAATTTAGCCATTAGAATTCCTCCCTATTTATCACTTCCTTTTCCCGTATAATTTGCTCATGCTTTCTGATTGGCTTGCCATGTGTCCATCCCTAATATTCTACTGATCAGCTTGCTCACCATATTCCATAACAAAATCATCGTAATTTTCATCAAATTGTTGTATACTTTGTTCTTAGTTTCGTTTCATCAAAATCATCGTATTTGATGGCATCCCATAAATTGAAAGAACATTGAGCTTTATGCTTGGTGAAACAACTTCACTAGGCTTCATTGTTTCAGGTCGGGTGATGACACATCAATTCAAGGAGATTACATGGAAAGGGGCAATCTGATACAATAGTGAAGCAGAGTCTATGGTGTTATACTCAAGCGAAGCCACACACAAGATCAATGCCGAACACTTAGTACTTCGCGAAAATAACAGCCCCAAATCCTGTAGCATGATATTGTTCGCTTTGCCCCGCGCACAAGCACCGTCGAGCTCACGGTTTTGTTTCTTGGGACACCCCACAAAAGGCCTCACACTAGAAGAGGTATCCACACCCTTATAAGGCACGGTCCAGGGCCAGGCTCTGATACCAAATGTAACAGCCCCAAACCCTGTAGCATGATATTGTCCGCTTTGCCCCGCGCACAAGCACCGTCGAGCTCACGGTTTTGTTTCTTGGGACACCCCACAAAAGGCCTCACACTAGAAGAGGTATCCACACCCTTATAAGGCATGCTTCGTTCCCCTCTCCAACCGATGTGGGACATTACATCCTCCCCCACTGGGAATACAGCGTCCCCGCTGTACACACCGGTCCAGGGCCAGGCTCTGATACCAAATGTAACAGCCCCAAACACCCTGTAGCATGATATTGTCTGCTTTGCCCCGCGCACAAGCACCGTCGAGCTCACGGTTTTGTTTCTTGGGACACCCCACAAAAGGCATCACACTAGAAGAGGTATCCACACCCTTATAAGGCATGCTTCGTTCCCCCCGAGCGCTGACGAGGGCGGGGAGTGATCGCCGGTGCAAAGAGGCACGGACAAGGAGCGGCTCCTAACAGGCTTCCAGCGGGGGGTTACATGCATGAATGAATCGAATCGACACCCGAAAGAGAGAAATTCCAAAGGCTGTGCAGGTATAAGACTGCACAGTTTGGGATAGCTTATAAGAATTAATTGGTACTACCTATGCTAATAAGATGCATCTGCTTTTCGGTAGCCTGGAACGGAAGAACTCCATAGTTAAGCGTACTTGACTTGGAGCAATTATGGGATGGGTGGCCTCCTGTGAAGTTTTCCCGGGAAGTGTGCGAGTGAGGAAAAAGCACACTGAAAAGTCTCGTGTTAGTATGTGGGGATAGTCGTTGATTCTTGAAGCGGCCAGGCGTTACTAGTGGTATCAGAGTAGTGCCTCTCATCCAGTACGGTGTGGTTCGAGGACGAACCAGGCAGAAGCTGGTAGGCATGTAACATCCCGAGCGCTGACGAGGGCGGGGAGTGATCTCCGGTGCAAAGAGGCACGGACAAGGAGCGGCTCCTGACAGGCTTCCAGCGGGGGGTTACATGCATGAATGAATCGAATCGACACCCGAAAGAGAGGGATTCCAAAGGCTGTGCAGGTATAAGACTGCACAGTTTGGGATAGCTTATAAGAATTAATTGATACTACCTATGCTAACAAGATGCATCTGCTTTTCGGTAGCCTGGAACGGAAGAACTCCATAGTTAAGCGTGCTTGACTTGGAGAAATTCTGGGATGGGTGACCTCCTGGGAAGTTTTCCCGGGAAGTGTGCGAGTGAGGAAAAAACACACTGAAAAGTATCGTGTTAGTATGTGGGGATAGTCGTTGATTCTTGAAGCGGCCAAGCGTTACTCATGTAACCCCCCGCTGGAAGCCTGTCAGGAGTCGCTCCTTGTCCATGCCTCTTTGCACCGGCGATCACTCCTCGCCCTCGTCAGCGCTCGGGATGTTACAGGGTTCCAACAAATACCACATTGTCATACACATATTGGACTTCACATTTACATCAAAAGAGTCCAAATACACAAAATATCCAATGTCATATTACAAGCCTTTCTCACATTATACATGTCTCTCAAATAACGAAAGCTATACAAAATATACGATTATACATCATCAATTAAATCTTATACATAAATATCAACATGATGCATATCTCAAAATATGAATCTCCCACAAACCTACTCGAGCCTCTTGCCCAGAGAGTAGTACCTGAAATGTAGTGAGATAACTATCTCAGTAAACTAAGGGTCCTTGGAGATCACTCTACCCATAGGTTTACTTCATGTGCATATACAATAATAACAACATAATATATCATCCATCTATCCATCACAATATATCTAATGGAATTCAAGCTTATTATATATACATATATAATATCCACTAGGTACTTCTGAGAGCAATCCTTACAAGGCCATTCTCTTAGGTATTATACCACCTGACAATCCTTCCAAGGCCATTCCAGGGGAAACCCCACACAATCATGCATTTCTCATGACTAGAGAATCATATATACATAGCACACCATACATATAGTTTCATCGTCATTTCAAAGTAATGCATGAACATATCATGACTATCAATATCATACTACACATCATCCAACCATTCATCCTAAAGGAGTATGGTGGAACACACAAGGGGATTACCCCGAAGTCTAGAAATTTACCTTAAGCAAACTTCCTTTTTGCCAAGCTTTCTTGCCACATAAGCAAGCCAACCAATCACACTTTATACACCAAAATTACCTATTAAAAGGTTACAAACTCAATCAACACAATGAATTCAATAACAACAATCAACTCAATGGTTATTTTATCAACAACAACACACATGAATACATGTTCAAAGACTTACCCAATTCTTGATTTCACAAGAATCAAAGGTTTCCACCTCAAGCTTAGGCCAATGCTTTTTCCTTCATCAAGCAATCACTAGACTTCAAGCTACACTACCAATCAAACATATTCATCAACAACACAACTCTATCCAAATCTTGAAACACAAGAAAATCAACACTTTATACATGCTCATTTTTGGCTATTTACATAAAAGTAATACAAATGACTATTTCAACTACTTTTCACCATTAATCTTAGTTCCTCAACATCTTTTACAAAGGGTACTCATCCCATTCCAAGTCACCAACGTCACAACACCTAAAATTTCAACACTTTGTTCGTGACCAATTTCTAAGTTATAGTGAAATACTGAAATGATGATTTCTTTTGTTATCCTTTCACAAGAACCAATTCTAAGCATGTTTTACAAAGGAACTCGCATGCAAATCACTTTCCAACTACTCAAACCATCAAATTTTCGAAATTGCCACATAGCCAAAAACCATGATTTTCTAAATTGAGTTAAATGGTGATTTATTTTGTTTTCTTTCATCAAGAAGCAATCTTAAGCATATTTAACAAAGGAAGCTATACCCAAATCACTCTTCAACTATCCATAATTTTCGAATTTTACTATTCATTTAACATAGATTTCTCAAAAGTTCATGAAAGCATGAATTGAGTGGTGAAAACTTACCACAAATCCTACTAGGATCCTTGGAGGAAGCTTTCCCAAGCACCAATGAGCTCAAACTCTCTCGAAATCTTCAAACATCATTTTCGACCTAAGCTTTTAAGTGCGAAAATCTCCCTCTACAATATTTCTTACAAAATGATGAGGGTTGGGCTTTGCTAAGGAGAAGATTATAAGCAACTTTGTTTTTGGAATCAAGTGATTTGGTTAAGTGTAACTCACACTATACAATTTTATCAAGTTTTTCCTTAAACAACAATGGCTTCCACGGTTGGTGAGAGAGAGAATGTCGATGATGGAGATGCAGTTTTGGAAATTTGCTAATAGTGTTTAGTAACTCTGACTTTGGTCAATGAGATTCACTTGTTCTCTTACTATTTTAATTTTATTTTTTTATTACTTTTTAGCAGAAAGTATAACAATATCTTTTTTAATAAAGATATGATATTGTTACTACTAATTAATATTATTGTCAATGTTAGGATATTTTTACTACTAATTAATATTATTGTCAATGTCACTATCAGTTTGTTTCACTATTAGATTGATTATGTTGATCTAACTGTTATTTTTATTTCCACCTTTGTATGGTTATGATTTCTTATATTTAATGCAAAAAAACATTAAAAGAAATCATAATCATACAAAGGTAAAAATAAATATAAAGTATTAAATATAGGAAAAAGAAAAAAGATTTTAGAAAGTTAAATCAAAATTGTTGGATCAACATAATCGATCTAACGGTAAAACAAAATGATAATGACATTGATAGTAACACTAATTGGTATTAAAAATATCATATCTCTTTTTAATATGTGTTTTTATCTCATAAAGTGATAAAACATAATAAATTAGTCTCTTACAGTCTTACTAATTTATTTATAAGTTTCGGGTAATTTTACCTAATTTTTATTTTTATCTCAAAATTTATTATAATTACACTTTTATCTAAAAAGTAATTAGATTTTTATTTAATTAATCTCATATAATTATGCAAAAATTTTTAATTAATCATTGTGTAGGTACGGGTTATTATACTTATGATCTTAATTATTCTTCTATGCTTCTATCCCACTGAATTCAAATTTTTTGCCCCATTTCCCTATCTTTAATTAGGTCCTCCCTTCCATAAAATATTGTTAGATTAAGCAAAATATAACTGTCAACTAAGAAAGAGGAGAAATGGTTCAAGACAAAATTGGTAAAAAGATTTGAGTCCCTATCTGATTACATGCTCACACTATCAGACTAGGTTTTTTTATTTATATGATTATCACTTAATTTGTTCTTAAGTAATGTGGGATTTCAGCTCTGGTTCTCGAATTTCCAACAATTTTTCTTAGAAAGTAAAACAAACTGAAAGTTCTTCATTAAGAAAATGAATCAAAAGTATTAATTTACAGAAGCTTGGTTCTATTTATAGTTTTGGAACCAAGTAAGTTACAAAGGTGCCACATGGACAACTAACTAACAGAAACTGAAACTAACTATAACTAACTAACAAATTGAAATATTGATATTGATATCTATCACCCCCCTCAAGTTGGAAGACATATGTCATGGAGACCCAACTTGGACATAAAACCATGGAACACACCAGGATGTAAACCTTTTGTAAAGAAATCAGCTAATTGTTGAGTAGTTGATATTGGTAACATATGAATGAGTCCTGAAAGCACTTTTTCTTTAGTGATATGACAATCAAGTTCTATATGTTTGCTTCTCTCATGGAAGGAAGGATTACGAGCCAAATGAATTACAACATGATTATCACAATACACTGCTGAAGGACGCATAGTGGGAACACCAAGATCAGATAGAAGGTAAGTCAACCACTGAACTTCACATGTTAAAGTTGCTAAGGCTCGATATTCGGCTTCTGTTGAGGAGTGGCTAACCGTGCTTTGCTTCTTGGATTTCCAAGATATCAACGAAGATCCAAGAAAAACACAAAAGCCGGTTGTTGATTTCCTTGTATTAGGGCAAGTGGCCCAGTCAGCATCTGCAAAGGCTGAGAGATGCAAACTGTTATTGGATGGAAAGAAGAGGCCCTTGGCTGGGGAACCCTTCAAGTAACGTGGAACTCTGCAAGCTGCATCAAAATGTGTTTTCATTGGATTAGCAACAGATTGGCTAAGCTGTTGGACTGCAAATGAAATGTCCGGTCTTGTATTTATGAGATACAATAAGCGCCCAACAAGACGTCTATAGGAAGCTGGATCATGATATGGAACACCCTGATTCTGTCTCAAGCGAAGGGTTGGCTCTATGGGTGTAGATGCAAGCTTAGCTCCTAGTAAGCCACTGTCATTGAGTAATTCTAAAACATATTTCCTTTGATTTAGAACGAATCCCCTTTTGGAACGAGCCACCTCTAAACCAAGGAAAAAATTTAAAGGCCCTAGATCTTTGATACAGAAAAGAGTATCTAGATGTCGTTTAATAGTGTTAACCTCACGTATATCATTACCCGTTAATATCATGTCATCTACATACACAAGTAATGCTGTGAACGAGTTACCTTTGGCTTTGGTGAATAGAGAATGATCACCTGAAGATTGTTTGTATCCAAGCAGCTGCAACTCTGTTGTCAATCGTGTGTTCCACTGTCGACTGGCTTGTTTAAGCCCGTACAATGATTTTTGAAGCTTGCAAACCTTGTTTGAAGCTGGTGCAAGCACTCCATTAGGGACTGACATATAAACCTCCTCACTAAGGTCACCATGGAGGAAGGCATTTTTGATATCTAGTTGCTCTAAGCACCAATTACGAGAGATGGCAACTGCTAAGAGGAGTCTAATGGTTGTGAGTTTTGCAACCGGTGAGAAGGTTTCAAAATAGTCAACACCTTCTAACTGATTGTATCCTTTTGCCACTAACCGTGCCTTGTAACAAGCTATAGTCCCATCTGGGTTGTGCTTGATTTTGTACACCCATTTGGATCCAATTGGGCGTTTTCCAACTGGTAAATCAACAAAGGTCCATGTTTGGTTCTGATTGAGTGCCTCAATTTCCTCATTCATGGCATTTATCCATTCAGTGGATTGAGAAGCCTGCTTATAGGTGGTTGGTTCAATGAAGGCACTAATGTTGTGGCAGAATGAAGAATATTTGTTTGAGCATTTTTCATACTGACATGCAATGAAAGTCTTTTAGATGCTTAGGTGGTACTTTTGATCTGGTCGAACGTCTGGGAGCATCTGTTGCTGATGGAGTATTGTTGATTGTGCCTGGAGCTAATACATCTGCAGATATGTTTGGCTATGCAACTATCACCTCTGATTGGTCACTTGATTGTGTAGGAATTACCAGATCAATATTTTGATCAATGGATGCTGCATCATTCGTATTTGAAGAAGGAATATCATACATGTTATTGATATCACCACCAAGTGGCCAAGGAGCATGAGATACTGCATGTTCTTCAGTAAATGGGAAGTGTTGTTCATAAAAGACAACATTCCTTGAGATAACTATATGTTTAGAAGTTAGGTCATAGAGTACAAATCCTTTGACTCCATCTTTGTGTCCAATATAGGCACACTTTCTTGCCCGAGGATCAAATTTTGATCGGCCAGCAACATTTGTAGAGGCATAAGCTAAACATCCAAAAGCCTTAAGATGTATGATTATAGGGGGCTCATTATACAACATTTCAAAAGGAGATTTATTATGCAGTACATGAGTATTCAGACGGTTAATCAGGTAAATGACATGCATAATGTAGTGTGACCACAGGCCTGGAGGTATTTTACTTTGGAATAAGAGTGCCCTTGCTGTGCTTAGTATATGTTGATGTTTTCTTTCAACAATTCCGTTCTGCTCAGGTGACTCTACACATGAGGTTTGATGCAATATTCCTTTTGTTAAAATAATCAGTCATGAAGAATTCTGGCCCATTATCACTACGAAAAGCCTTAATTGTTATGTTAAACTGATTTTCAATGAGAGAGACAAAAGATTGAACATGATTCCTCACTTCAGACTTAGCTTTCATGAGGATTCCCCAAGTAAATCGTGTATTATCATCGACTATAGTCAACAAATATCTATAGCCATGAATCGAAGGCACTGAACATGGCCCCCATATATCAATATGCATAAGATCAAATGCTGAACTTGATACAGTATGACTAATAGGAAAAGGTAATCTCTTTTGCCTTGCTAAATGACAAGTGTCACAAGGACCATCAATGTTTTTACACTTAATGAAAGGATATTGGAGCATCATGGCTCTTATTACAGCCTTTAAACAATGTCCTTAACGCAAATGCCATACATCATCATTACAATTTTCTACCAGATAACTAGTTTGAGAGAAATCAACTTCTCTCTCTGTCTTCAAGTTATCCTTTCTATTGTTGCTTGAATTATCTTCACATTTACAATTTTGTTTGAGAACATACAGCCAT